AAATCATATTTTCATTTAATAAAAACAATATTTTATGCAATTAAGTTTTTATAATAAAAACAACACATTCTTTTACTAAGCTGTGATGCAAATAAATCTCTTTATAATTTAGTAAGGGCAAAACTAAGCAAAAACTAGGTAAAAAAATAATCAGTATTATGATAAATTTAAGAAAAATACAAAATAAACTATCTAAACACAAACAATGCATATAAAAAATGTATTAAAAACATAAACAAAGGGCGATGATTATCGCTAGGCAGCGATAAAAACTGTAAACATAATCTGTATAGTTTAACTAAAACTTACATTATATTTAGCATGACTAATGTAGATTAGCAAATAGAAAAGCGAAAAGTTTTCTCCGGTTTCAAGAATAAACGAATCGCGTTTATTTGTATTTGGCGAGCTGCATAAACCGCCATGTTGCCTTCTCCTTCCTCTAGCGTCACGCAAGTTTTAGGAAAGGAACGCCTTTCAATTTTTTATTGCTGGTTAGCAACTTTTCTTAGAGTTGCAAACTGATGTTTATATATTTTGGAGTGTCTCAAGATGCAGAATGCATAAATGAAACATTAAAATATCGACTTACTTGATCTGTTTTGGCGGCAGAAGCGTCAGGATATCCTCTCATTCTTTGAGTAGATGTATGCTGGGCGTACAAGTCTTGCCATTCATTGGTAGACGGGTCGCGGAGAAGCTTTTTGCTGCTATTCGCTAGGAATCGATAATCACCTTGTAGGGCCACACATTTCACCTCAGGGCTTCTTACGTTAAACAAACTTCTTCAGGATTACTTGACTTTCTTTTCTCTTAATTTCGGAGAAGGAAAAGGAAAACGGGATAAAATTGGAGATCTTACAGTAAAGGTGTAAGGAATGCTTAAAAGGGAGGGTTAAAAAACGTTACAATGTTTGTTGAAACCTAGATAAATTATAAGTAGAGTATAAATAATGTTATATAATTATGCGGATCGAAATAACAGGTTAAAAGTAAAACCCTTATATAAATATTAACTAATGTAAAGTTTTTTTAGGTCTGTCAAAATATTTTTTTTAACATTTTAGGAGCAAAGAGTCAGTAGTAAGTTATGTGAAAACGATTTATTTGTGGAAATATGCTAATATATGGTCCTAAATAAATGTAAATGAAATAGAAGAGATGAAACATGTATTATTAGTAAAAAATTGAGTGTTAAATTGAAGGAAACTCGTATTTCTGTCAAAGAAAGTGTGTTAAAGAAAATGAAAACAGGAATAGAACATATTGCTAGTTAATTCAAACAAATAAAAATTGTTTTGTTTAAAATTTTTTGTGACATCTCAAAAATTTTAAAAAAATACATTCTCTAATTTTTTTCATCTGGTCGTTTTTGAATATATATATATATATGTGACTTGCGATTTGATTATCTCATATAACACATTATTCATTTCTTCCTCAATTCTAATTCCTAATCAAGATTTAAAACAAGTTATTTATTATTAATTTTTCTCAGAAAATAATATGATTATAATTTTTAAAAAACTGACAGATTTCACTGTTTTTCAATTTTAAGTTTTCGTGAGATATCAAGACTTAACTAAAAAATTATATATATATATAATTAGTCCCATAACTAAATTAATAGGAATCTCATAGTTAAAAGTAATTTGTATTGAAATTTGAATATTTGTTATGATTACACTTAAACTGGACAATAGTTTTATATTAAGAGTTACTTTCCGTTTCCTCTCATTTTTTACTTTGCTTTTGTTTTATTAACTTACTATGAATTTATCTTAAGAAAAAGTTTTCCTTACTTGAAAAAAAAGAGGATAAAAGAAAAACAAAATATGAACTTCATTATATTGTGTCCCTTGATATGAAAATTTCTTCTGGAGTAATTTATATGTTTCTTACGTATGTTATAAATACTTATACATCATAAATGCTAATATGTACTCAAGAATATTATAAAATATTGTACTTACGAGGAAGCTTGAAAAAAAATTTCTAAGCAACAAAAATTATTTATAATCTTTGAATAGCTCAAAATAATTTTTTTAAAAGAAATTTATAAATAATAACTAAAAAATTAAGATGCCAGTAATTTTTTTTAAAAAAAATTAAGCCTAAAAGTAACAGAAAAAGTAAGAATATATGTATTTTTTCCAAATAGATGTGATAATAACAATAATTACACACATACTGAAGACAATTTTAAATAGTCAAGTAATATATAGACAACAGCTTATTTTTACGTAGCTTTTAATGGATAACTGACTAAAACATTTACGAGTCAATGATCTTTTTAACATATCAATTTTCATTCAAAAAAAGGTCAATTAATTTTGTAATTTAGAGACCTAAATTTCCGTAATCAATTAGCTACATTGAATAGTTTTATGAATTGGGAGCAAACTAATAAATATTTCTTTACAATACTGAAATCAAAGAAAAATTATCATTTATTATTTATTATTACAATTACTATTATTATTATTTTATCTGCGTTTTCAAGATGTGATTTGATCCTATTGATGATGTAATTTACTGATATTTCTCATAAAAAAGATATTCTCTAAATATTAATTTGAAGCACTATTTCCAGCTAAACTCTGCTTTCAAAAATATGTTATAATTCCTTTTATTACAAAAGTTTACTTAAAGATATTTCATAACAAGTAAAAAATCAGCATTAAAAAAATATTTTTGCTAACCACTTTCATTTTGTGATTTTAACTTGTGTTGCATTCCTTTCCAGTTAAAATATATCTTTAATATTCTCAAAAACAAAAACAAAAAAAAAAGAAGAAGAAAATGATTCAGTTCTCTTTCAAGAGAGAGAATTTGTTTCTTACATTACTTTTTTCCTGTATGATGTTTACAAAACCGAAAAAAAACACACATTTTTGTATGATATTGAATTATTCATTATACTGAAAACAATACAAAAATATTGAAGGTATAAATACTTCTACATTTTATGCAGTTAAAGTAATAAACTTTAAATTTTAATGAGTTTAAAATTATTTGGGATCATAAATAACATTTACGCAAATAGCATTATTTATTAATATAACAAACACACGTTTAGTTTTCATGATATGATTATAGTGTTATAATTACAAAACAATAAATATCCCACCAATCAGTATGGTGAGATTTAGCAAATATTTAAACAATAATCTCGAGGATAAGTTTCAAACAATTTCTAATCATACATAATAATTAACAGAAAAATATGTTTTTCAACGACCGATTACTATTATTGATTTAACCATTAGTCCCATAACTATAATTCTTCTTTATTTATGATGCTATTTTTATAAAAATCTACATTTCAGAGACAGTTAACTCTTTTTAATTAAAATTTTTTTTAATTAAAATTATAGACACATGCATCTATTTTGTTGACATGTGTCTATAATTAGATGACAGAAAAAATTCACACACATTTACACGCAATTCTAAAACAATAGCCTCGCAAATTTTTTTAAATATATGCCACATCCTGAAATATAGAACATTAAGATGTTTACATCATTATTAATATTACTTTTTTTTATTAAAATGCAATAATTATTATTTTGAAATAAGATAAGAATTTCTCCCTGAAAAAAAATCATCTTCACAACTTATAATAATATTCATCATTCTCTTTAATAATGATTAGAAAATATGTTAATGAAATGATAAAAGTCTTTTTGATATTTTCATTTATAATTATCATTTTTGGCAGGAGCTTCAGTGACATGGTAAGCAGCGCCAACTTTTTTAATAATTTTCTTAATGCGTGTAAAAGAATTTATTTTCAGTTCATCTTATAAATAATTTTGCATTTTTAAAGCTAATTATTTAGTTTCAAATAATTTCCAATAAAAAAATGCATCTATACTAACCTTAAATGTCAATTCATTCCTAGTATCATATATGTAGAAAATTATTAATCCGGCTATTTCCAAGAGCCTTGTTTTAATTAAGAATCATTATAGTAAAGTTGTGATAAAAGAAATATCCTATGATTTTGCGCAGATGTTTTTAAGAAAAGAAAGCAATTTAAAGCGAAGTATTTCAGGTGGGATTTAAATTATTATTACGTGAATGCAATAACAACCACTTTGTTAATACAAACTTAATATCAGGATGACATTGACAATCATTTTTTGTAGAGTTGCCATGAATGAAATACGTATCATTATCAAGCTGTTGTGTGTTATAACACCCATTTTCCCTCCTATTCAGTTACATTTTTATGTGACAAGGATATAAATAATGTAGCTTGCGACTGTTATTGCGTGACATTAAAACTGTTATGGTTATGGCAGGGTATGTTGTTTTTCTGCTCTCACATTTGACTAATTTCGAAGTCTGTCATAATTTATGAAGTTGTTTAGTTCCGAAAATTCAAATGTTTCACCTTATATGCCTTAAATGATTTTTTAATAAAGTAGGTGAAAAACTTGTAGGTTATTTTTTCCTGGTAAGCTTATCTGGATTACTGCCTTTAGGATTATATATTTAATTTTAATAATTTTTTGCATGTATGCCTCAGGAAAAGATCTGGCCATTAAGGTGTGAGGATATATTTTTTTCTTTTTTTGTTCAGAATTTCAAAACATTTTGCGCGGAAAAGTTTTTTTAATAATCCTTACGCTAAGTACTACCATAAAAGGAATGAAGTTTAAGTATTTAAGCTAAATGCAAATTAATTTTTATTAAAACAAGTTATTTAAAAAATAATTAAGACAATTCCTACTTAGATCAACAAAGAAAAATTTTATTTTAGTTACTTTTTATTAAATAGTCACAATTATAATATAAAAATGTATACACATATGACAAATCACAATATTAAGTGACAAAATAGAGAGAGAGACAGAAAGCGATTTTCCTTTCTATGTATGGTGTTGGACTACTTCTTTTGTATTTTTGTTATATCGTTATTAATGAATTAAATTTAGTTATTGTAATGAAATAGTACAGTAGAAAAGAAATAACATTCTCAGAAATTAGGCCATCCCTGGTGGGATTCGAACCCACGACTTTTGGATTAGCAATCCACGTGCTATCCATTCCACAACAGGGACACAACGACCGATTTTCCTTTCTATATATGCTTTTAGATTATTATTTTTGTTTGTTTCTATTTATTCATTTTTTAATTTAATTAATGAATTAATATTTGAAAAAACTGTATTAACATCACAAGTGTCGTCCACTACAAGTTTAAAAAATGCATTTGAACTTCAATGGATGAATAGAAAGTATTTTATTAACAATTGAAAATTTGAACAAGATATATATATATATATATATAAAGAGAGAGAGTGAACTAATAGAAGGAATTGAAAAAAAAATAGGTATTTTAGTACTTTTTAACATTTATAGCGATGAAAGGAGACCTACTAAATAGTTTAAAGGGAAAAAAACATCAGGTACATTGCTTTAGTATTAAGAAAACCACTTTCGAAATTGCAGGACACCATAAAGCGGAAGGAGGAAAAAAAGCTTGTATCGGACTGATTTGACGGTGAAGGGACAGAGAGTTGGAACTATGAAATGTTGCAATGCACATTGTATTATTCACTATTACAATAACCATTCTCATTTATCAATAACCATCGTTTTTAGTTCGTTGTACTGTGGAAAAGTAATTTTACTTTGAGTCTAAGATCATCTTACCAAATTTAAGTCTTTTTTCCGTTTTATTCGAAAATTCAACTCCTTTTTGGCAATGTTTATTTTTGAAATTATTTTTTATAATTTTTTTTTCTAAATGTATACCTTGAACACCTTTTCTCTGCATAGGTAGCTACCGATTAAAAATATTTTTTTTTCTATTGCGATCCCCCCCTACTTTACACTCTGCATGGTCGCTAAAAAAATTTTTTCAGCAAAATATTTTTATTTTTGCAAGAATGTATATGACAACTTTTCGTCACAAAGGAAAACGAAATATTATATAAATTTAGCAAACAATATTAGATCGAATGTCAATGACATGTTATGATCACAAATTGCTTTACAATAAAAAAGCAGATAAGCTTTTAGCTTCTATAAACGTAAACTTTACACCGTAATTTTTATCGATATTATAAACAGAACTTTGAGATTAACATTAACAAATATAATATTTTCCCCATAGGAAAATCACAATTTCGGATATTTGCTGGCACTTCATTAAAGGTATAATTCTGCGGGTTTAAAATAGAGCTATCTCTTTGATTTCCCTCTTTTTATCTCTCTCTCTCTTGACTGTGTTGTATCAATTTCACAGATTAATAATGATTTTCTCAATCCCAATAAGTTTTTAAAGTAATTAATATATTATGGTAATAAATTTAAATAAGCTGATAATGATAATAATAAATAACATTTACGAAATAATAAATAAATATTTAAAAATAATTATCAATAAATATTTGAAGGATAAAATTATATATATACATAAATTAAAATAACAACAAGCCATAAAAAATTCCTAATGATTTTTTCGAAGAGACTCAATGTATTTTTATATGTATGTCTATTATGCCTTTTGCTGCACTCCTCAGCCAGAAATTAATTTGAATTATATAATTAACTTTCATTTGTGATTTTACTGTAAATAGCTTCCATATTATTCTTAGAAGTAAAAATATACCAGATGCACACTAAAATATGAATATAGAATTAAAACGTTATCCTGAGAAGTTTGTTGCTGTTACTTCTGGGAATGTTAAATAAAATTGTTAACATTTCCTCGGTTTTATTTCCCTAATCTGACGACATCATATTTTAACAATCTTACTTTTTTAGTGAGGAAAACCGTAAGAGAGTGGGAGAAATTACTACGCAAAGACCAAACATCCTAAAAACAAAGTTTCCTAAATCCTCCTTTTGACTTAAAGAATATTAAAAAGATGATTTTTGTGAACAATTTTAGTAAAAATAAATAAATAAATAATAATAATCAAACGAAGAAAAATATGTGTTTGTTATTATTTTTAAGATGGAGTGGCTCATAATTTTGATGCTTAATGCTAATTTTAGGATTTGAATAATACTTCGCCATTAAATAGATCACTGAACAAAATAGTGTAATCTCAGACTATCTCATTTGTACTGATTTTCTTTCCTCCTTGGATTCTCTGAGGTGTATTTCTTCGTCTAACAACATAATCGTCGAGATCCAAAAGCAACTTAAAAGCTTAAAAGATCAAAACATCTCGATAGTTTTTGCATTTGTTCATGGACACATGGGCATTCTTGGAAATGAGCAGGCTGATTAGCTTGCAAAGGTTGCTACAAAAGCGGGAAATCAACATTGAAAAAATCATTATACAAGAAGATTACGAAAGAAAGAATGGTGAAGTCTTGGAAACAAGAATATCTCATTTCAAATAAAGGATGTAAACCTAGAAATTTTTCCAACCATTATTAAGAGACTGCTATGCCATCATTTTTATACTAATTACAAAACAACCTAATTTCTCATTGGTCATGGTAACTTTAAAAGCTACTTGACCAAACTTAATTTAGTTCCGTCATCTTCCTGTGATTGTAATATTGGTGACCAGGAAAATGTAGAAAATAACTCTTTCAGTGTTCCGTTTGTCAGAGAAAGAAAGATCCTAAGACTATCTCTCAAGGGACTATATAAATTAGCCTCCGAATTTTCACCAACTTATTTCCACCAGAAGTGCTTTTAAAAAGTTCTGTTAATTTGTTGTAAATATTTATAATACTTCATAACCTCAAAAAAAATTCCATTTTGTCCTTTGTAATGTGTGATTAATATTTACTTCTGTGAGCCCCGTGTGATACTTTGTGGTGCATGGCGATTTTATAAATGTTTTCAATAATAAAAAAAATAATAATAAAGCATAAAAGGCTAAAATTTTAGAAATTTGATTTTATCGCATTTATTTAATTTTTAAGATGCCTGAAATACCGTTGTGTTTATATATCATAATGCTTTCCAGAGGGAATTGAAGTGAAGTGAATGTATTGTTTATAAACATTATCATTTATGGTTTCCCTTTCCCAGACTAATAATCTATAGATGATTTTAACCGTCACATCGCAGTTATATAATAGTATTTTTGATCTATAAAAAATAATAAGGAGGCAGGTTGTGCGTGTATTTTAAAAATACAGACTTCCTTGGAAAAAATACTCGAATCTTATAGGCGGTTGATGTATGGAAAATCATTATGCATTGTAGTAAATCTTGATTATATAGAAATGGTACGCCTTGTCATCGAATATCATTAGGTTCCACTCACGAATTATGCACTCGGGATCCCTAATTTTTTTCGTTGGAACTCGTAGGTGGTATCTTTCGAAACCCAGGTGGTCCTTCTAAATAACTGTTATAAAACAGTCATTTGTGGAACTTTATTCTACAGATGAATCTCGAAAATTGTAGTGTTGGAACTGTAAGGGGTCTTTAAAACTAAGATTTCGTGCCTTGTTAACTGAAAAGAAGAGGATCCCACAAACAGGATTCAAATGATATCTCTCACACCGAGGAATACGTTTCTTGTCGTGCCGGAGTCGAGGAATTTGAAAGCGTAAAAATGGCGCAATTACAGTGCAGAAAGCCCGACACATTTAAGGGGCGTTTATCTTTGAATGGCGTGCTTCTCAAGCTTAGAATGTGCAACTTGCATCTGTAAAAGACACCATCACCAATAAAAGTATTTAGAACAATGGAAATAAATTCTAAACTTTTCTCTTTATTGCTTTATAATGGGAAAAAAATTGATCTCACCAAATGTTAAAACAGAAAACTTCCTTTTGGGGCAAGCATTTACAGGTTTATAGCACGCACTTATCAAATAAAACTTTTAATTCTTATTAAATCCGTGTATTTGTAATTTAATTATTCATGGATTTAAGAGTAAAAATTTCCCACTTTTATTCAGAATACAATGTTTTTTTTCTTCCGAAAACATAACTTTTCTTTTAAGCTCAGGTTAAAATTCGTTTCCTTTTTTTAAAAGTTTTTACCTATTAATTATCAAAATAAATATTTTTTAAATTTATTCTTAATAAAATTCAGTAAAAAAAATTATCTTCAGTAATAAAATTTCATAAGTTATACTTTAAATCAGTGGTCTTTTTTAGAGCTTATTCTTGAAAAAATAGAAACTGAAATTAAATAGAAACAAAAACAAACAGAGAAATAATTTTCTACAAAAAGAGCCGGTAAAGTATTTAACAGTAAAAAAAGAAACAAACACATTGAAGAAATGCCTTGTATTCATTATTTGTTTTTTGAATTTTTTTAAAAAAAATATTTGCTATTTATATTTCCATGTACAATAACAAGTGGAGTGCATGGACTACGTTTATATGGGAGAATTTATTTTTAAAAAAAACGTAAGCGAAAGTCCCAAGACGTAATCTCTATGCTAAAAACTAAAAATCTGTTTCTCTATGGAAGGGGCATGACCTATCTCCCCCCCCCCAACCTCGTTCCTTGCATACGCCTAGACAACAACAGCCTTTTCATTTCTTCTGTAGCATTTTCAGGTAGGTACATGTTAAGTCCCCCCCCCCTTTGACGCAGTTTTATGATTTTTCAGTGAACAAAATTATGATTCTTAATAAAGAAAAAGAGAAAGATTCTAAAGAATTCTCATTTCCTTTGATAATATGTATTCATTTTATAAACAATAGAAAACTTAGATAACACAATTGAAATAATTAATGCTATAAGTTTCTGGCATGAATTATACGTTGTAGCTTGATTATTAAACCAACTATAATAAAACTACATATGTTTACAAAAATCCTGAAACTGTAGGGGGGGAAAAAGAAAACGAAGCCAGAGACAATTTAAGTAGGAGCAAATTTTACAAAGAAATAAACAATTGTAAGCAATCCAAGAATATCTAAATGCACATGAAATCATTTCGAGGTAGAAATAAAACCTATGATCTTTGACATTTAAAATTTTGCTGACTATGATTTAATATCATTCGATTGCATTTCACGGATTTTTAGAAAAAATAAGTAAATAAAATTAATTAAACAAATAAAGAAATAGTTTACGCTCAGGCGATGCTAATTCTTTTGTTTAATAATTTAACAAGGAAAT